ATTTTCTGAAGTTATGAAACATTAAAAACGTCTGTGAATTCGTGCCCAAGTGTTCTGTACAGGTGCTAAAAAGTGAGATAATTGATATGACAAACGGTGCAATCGCAGGCTAATTCGATTGGTAGATAATATATCAACTAAATCTTATAAAATTCTTGCAAAAAATAACAATATTTATTTTGCACATTATAAATCAAACTGGATATTAATTTATATTCTCTGATTAGTAAAACTCGAATTTATAACAATTATTTTTTTATCTAATTATTGACTAAATCTAATTATATACAAAAAATAGTAAATAATTCTATTTTTGTCTGACAGATCTGAAATACGAGGAAATACTGGAATCGAAGTTTATTTCGATCGGCGAGAAAACAGAAGCCATTAAAACGTCTAGTATCGTGTAGACATATACCTTTGAAGTTTGTACTTGTAAGTAAAGTTTATGTTTCTAATGCTAAAAAAATTTTAATGTGCCTTTTTCAATGGAAACTTTAAATTTTGATTCAAATTAATTTATTAAATATTATTACCCTAGGATTACAAACAAAAGAAGAAAAATAGCAGAAGAATGGCAATAAACAATGACGCATTGATTGCAATTATCAACGATTTTCTGGATTCGTCCGATAAGTGATTCTGAAAGCGATGATGAATTGTTAACAGATGCAAATAAAATAATTCGCGGCAAAAGGCCAAGATTGTACAGTATACGTTAGAATTAGTTTATATTTATTTCAGAAGTTACAACACACATATATTTGAGTATTCAATCATTACATGTAATAACTGTTTGAATATTATTGTTTAAATAAAATCTTTTTGAACAGAAAAAGTAATATGCAAATTGAAATTACCTCTATAGAAACGTTATACTAATTAAATAACTGATTCTTTTAATAATTATTACAGATACCAGAGAAATATGTAATTAAATATATATTTCAGTTAACTTATTGTTAAACTTATACTTATTGTTAAACTATACAGGAATCTTTATTTTTAATTCTACATATATACAACAGCAATACGTAATGGATGTCTCTCTCACTTCCATTACTTTTTTTTTTAACGTTTCGATGAGCTCTTTCATATAACAAAGTTTTTCCTTTCTGTACGCTTCCGTTTTTGCCGCTTTATTTTTTCTTTTTTCTAACATCTCTTCTAGAATTGTGTTTCTATTACGTTTTGATCCTGCATCTATATAAGTTTGAAATGCATACATTTATTACAAACAATATTCATAAACATATTTCATATCTATGAACACAGCACACTTACTTGGGGATGAGTTACGTTCATCTGTATCTTCAAACGTTCTTCAAATCTTGTACTTCAGAACTCGCAATCGTGACCGGTTTCACCCATGGATGATCTTTAAAAATCTCATTGAGTTCCTAGAAACAATAAAATATACGATTAACACGAGAAATACTTTTTTAAAACAAATAAAATGTAAACAATTAATACATTACATCAAAATATTTATATCATTAAGTCGTTGCTGATTGATTATTGTGATCAATGACTTTTTTATACTGCCGTTTTAAGGTATTCATTTTGGTAGAGCATTTGCTCGCGAGAATGTCGTAACCCTTCTTTTTCATCCCTTCAGCAACCAGCTGCCACAGCTTTCGTAAGAGTATTTTGCCACCTTTCATTTTCTCGTATTCTTGGCAATATAGACTTATTAAGAACAATGTTTGCTTAAGTGTCCAATTCTTTCTCTACCAATTGAGACCTGCAACGTTTTTGTAAACATTGTTCATTATTAACCATTAATATTTACGCAAGAGGAAACCGATAGCTTACATCTCCAATTAACTGATATAATATAAAATTTTATGATTAATGGTTCATTAGAAAATATTAAGCGCCGGCCAATGTGTATGGATGTGGCTATCAAGACTAACGAGGCTAACGGAGCTCTTCTTATTTACGCAATATCAATGACGCGATACATATTTGTATATATTTTTTTATATTTTAATTTATTTATCCTAAATGGAAACTATAAAATGTAATTGATGTTGATGAAAAATTAATTAAATTTATACTTGCATTATCAGCGTCATCGCTCTCATCATCATCAATGGCCTCGTGCTCTGGTGGAACCTCGAGATGAAGATCGCCTTTATTTCTATTCTTCATTCTTTTTGAATTACGAATTCCATTTAAAACGCGTTGAGCAAATATACGTATCGTATTGTTTTCAAACATTTTAATCTGTAGTGAATCATGTTAATGATTATCCCAGACAGCACATAACGTCCATTGGACGTCCAAATTTCGTTTTTATTTAGTACAAACGTCCATGGACTTAATATGTATGTTTTAAAAACGTATATTATTCGATGTATAAAGTAGATTTACATTTGGATGGTTCAAAAATATCCATCTTACATCCCAGACAACACAAAGTCTAAAATCGATGTATAAGACGTCTTTTAGACATCTTTTAGATAATTCTTGCAGAAGTGTCTAAAAGACATCTAAAAGACGTCTTAAAGACGTCTTATGCATCAATTTTAAACTTTGTGCTATCTGGGATATTATTACTTCTAAGAATCTTAAATCGTTATAGAACAGTTATAGTTTAGATAACTCTGCGCATTTTTATTTAATTTAAATATTCGCGGTTCGGCTAATCACATTTTGTTTTGTTTGTATTTTGCTTATTTTTTTATTACAAAAAATTATTAATTAGCTTATACAAGCAGACATACAGCTATTTATTTATTTATCAGACAATTGAATGTAATCAATAGAATCGAAA